TTTTTTTTTAATCTTTAGAACCCAGCCGTCCTCAAAGTCTACGATTTTTATGACGTTTGTACGAATACCACTGCAATCGAATCAACCGGAATGGCTCCTTTAAATAACACGATAGCAAAATATGGATCGTGGAACATAACGAACACCGGAGCCCAAGGATCGTGGGATTTTGTAACGACTTTAAGCAACATTCAAAGAGATCTTGATATAAGGCCATTATTTCGTATTAATGTCTACGCAGATGAAAAAAATTCAAATATTCATAGGATAATGGTAGGTTACCATAGTTACATGAAATAATGACGTCCGTTAGACATTAGTGTCACATGACTTCATAAAGTCACGTGACTAAATCAAATGATTGAAGTAGCTCAATACTTGTTGATTTCAATGTCTACAGATTGATCAAACCAGTCATGCTATCACACGACAAAGCTACCTTGCTAATACGTCGTATCATTTCAAGGTATGATATCGGTTGATAAATATTGTTTTCCACCATGGAATTCCGTCGATAATAAATCTCTTTATCTAAGTTTCTTGTCTTCCTAGCGCTTTCTCGCTACTTGGAGACACTTTTCACTCAACAAAAATAACACGGCATTCAATATTCTATGCACGCAACGCTCAACTCACCTGTTGATTTTTACGGAGGGAGAAAACCGGAGAACCCGGAGAAAATTTCGTAGCATAGGAGAGAACAACACATTAAAACAAACTCAATTCACATATGGTGACCACAGAGCTCGAATAGAGGTTTTGCACCATACTTTACGGCAGCCATGTTAGATGGCAGGAAAAATATTATAGTTTTACATAAGAAAGAATTCAATTCTCGAGAGCAAAGGGATTTTATTTTTCTGCCATCTTACCACAGGCAGTCCAAGCTGGATTATGGCGCCGGCACGTGATGGTGCAAAACCTCTATAGGTGATTCCAGCCTTTGGAACCACAGTGGTGAAAGACGACGCGTTAACAGCATACGCCGCCCATGCTGGGTTACCCATACTTTGTTTCCTTTCAGGTTCGAGATGCATACAGAGAACTAATGATAGATATTGCTATATTACTGGGTGCAACCAGTGAGGCAGGTCCTCAACTATTCGAGATATTCAACTTTGAGAAGAAACTATCGGAGGTAAGGTTTCTACACATAATAATATCTTCTGGTTATGCACAGCTAACTATGTAACTATAAATATCCATCTCCCATTATTTTAAATTACTCTTTTTAGATATCACTGCCCAAGGCAGAAAGAATGGACAAGAGTAAGCTATACACCTTGATGACAATAAAGAAATTAACGAACCATTCAGACAACCAGGTGAGTAACAAAGAAACAAACCGACACAACTAAAAATAGACCTCTTTATCTTGGGAGTAAATGTTTTCCTATTTCACAGGCCATGTGTCATTCTCTTGAGAAAGATACTCTCAGGGCCACAGGTTTGTTAGCATATTGCTACAGTCAACTCTCGTTACAGCGGACACCTTCGGGACCGTCACTTCATGTCCGTAATAGCGAGCGTCCGTAATAGCGAAAATTATTTACGGTCATTTCTTTGTCAGTATTTTTGTCGAGTATTTTTCTCCTGTCCGTAATAGCAAGGAGTCCGTAATATCGGGGTGTCCGCAAGGCGAGAGTTCACTGTATTTAGTGCTACCCTCAGTAAATAAAGAGTTTACTTACTTACTTACTTACTTCATCATGTCTTCTCATGATGCACAACTGTTACAGAAATAAAGAGATAACTAGCTAAAAACTAGTGTGAGCTGCGTCGGTGTTTCTAATGAAACAGTAATGATAAAAGGGTAAATTTTACACCTTGAAAAGATGAAAAAACTTACTGACGTTTCGGACGCTAGTCCTTCGTCGGAGTAACAGCCACCTGAAAATGCCACCCTTACAGAAATGATTAAAAGGAGACATATGGGGTATGAAAGCATTACGCCCACCACTAGGTAAAGAGGTCGGCTAAGTGGTTCCTTGCAAGTTACAATCGGGATATAAATTGTCGCCTGAGGGGAGATAATGAGGAAAATCGTCAATGTACCAATCGTCAATGTAAAGCTAATCTATTGTAGTTGGTTCAAACATGTCAATCTTGTTGTTATGCCTTAAATGGTGATGTCCGCAACCAGGTTAAAACAGTTTGCTCCACTCAAATAAAGAGCCATCCAGTATAGTTTATTAGAGTTGTCATTCCACAGATTGATTGGCTACAGATACTCAATAAGATTTTTAAAGACACTAGTCGTAGCTTTAAGGAAGACGACGAAGTAGTTGTATTAGCAGTAGAGTATATCAAGAAGCTTGCAAAATTACTGAAGGACACACCAATAACGTAAGTTGTAAGCAACTAGCTATTGTACACAATTATTTGCTTGCTTGCTTGCTTGCTTGCTTGCTTGCTTGCTTGCTT